TCAAAAGGGGCTAGTAGTAAAAGTATTACTAGAAGGAAAAGATAGCCTTTTTTTAGCATTATGACAAGAATCACATGGTGCCAATGTTGGCTTACAATTGATGAAAGGGAAGAATCGAGAAATATTTTTTAAACCTATATCTGAGACATGGCCTAACCTGGAGTGCCAAAGATTATAAGAATCAGTTTTAGTAGAATTACAAAGGGTTGGGGAAGTATGAGATTCAAGGATGTACAATCCTCTTTGGAGATTAGTTATACCAATCGTTAGCTTGGAAGGATTCTGCACAATGTGACGGGTAATAGAGTGAAACAAGAGGTGATAGTTAAGGTCAGTAGTTAATTTGGCTACAAACACGAGGTTAACATTAAAACTAGGTGTGTATAACACATTGTGTATAGTGATGGAAGGGGAAAGCTATGGTACCAAAAATAAAAGAAGTGATATGTGAGCCATTAGGGAGGGTAACAGAGATAACATTAATGTTGTTATAAGTGATCAAAGAAGTGAGGTTATAAGTATTCGGAAATTGAAGGACTTAACATTTGACATAGTTGAATTGGTTGGCATGGCAAGAGGTGTGTTGGTGATGGAATTGGTGGCTGGTTGGATTTATGATTGTTGGAGAAGCTCTATGATACTATCATACTGATCTTGTGTGAAGCCATAACTTGGAGTTGTTGAATAAGGAACTCCTTGGTCAGAAACATTATTGGCAAATGAAGGATTTCTGGGTCTGATATTGAATCCAAGAGGGTAACCATGTTTGACAAAACATGTGTCAACCGTGTGATTGGTGCGGCCACAATGAGTGCAAAACCTATTTGGCTTGGAAGATGGTGCTTTGCCTTTGTAATTAGGGTTCCAAGTCTTGTTGTTGCCCCGATGAGAATTTAAATTAACCTGCAAAACAGAAATAGGGGCAATAGAATCCGTAGAAGGTAAATCCAAGGAAGAGGGATGATCCAGCTCACGTTCTTGTTGAATCACCTAAGTAAACACACGATTGATATCTGACAAGGGAGTCATCATCATAATTTGGGATCTTGAATTTGCAAACTTCTCATTAAGGCCTTTCAAGAACCGTGTCACATAATCATGTTCACAATATGTTTTGACTGATAAAATCGTGCCACGGGTGCAGGGGATGACACATGAATAAAATGGAATAAAGGCAGTACGATTCTAACTCATCCCAATAAACTTTAAGCTGCGTAAAATAGTCAGAAACTGTGAGAGTACCTTGCCGAGACTTATAGACAACTTGGATATCAGAGATGCTGAAGATATCGGTCTGAGAAAATCTTGCGCGGAGATTTGTCCAAACACCAAAAGCAATTTGGATCCAAAGAACAGATTTTGCGATTGATTCGTTGATGGAGCGAAAAAGCCAGGCAAGAACCATCGTGTTGCATCTTGTCGATGGAGCAAGAAGAAGATCAACAAGTGGTGGTTTTGGAAGAGTGCAATCGGTGAAATGCTAGTTGTTCTTGGAGATAAGGGCGATTTCCATAGAACAAAACCATGTATGGTAGATCTTGGAATCAAGAAGGGGAGAAACAAGGACGAGAGCTGGATTTTCATTAGGGTGAATGTAATAGGGGTTTGCATAGTTGGTGGAGAAATCATAGTAGAGATTAGCCATTAAGAATGAAAGGTTGAAAACGAAGAAAGAATGAAAAAGATAACAATGACTATCGTATTGCTACTCATATCATGTTAACGATACACAGAGAAAGTATAGTGCTAAAGATAATATTTGCATATTCATTGAATATATTCAACACATTATAATATAACAAATGTCACCTTTATATATAGGTGTTATCCATAACAAAAAGAGAAAGAATAATTGAAAAATAACAAAAAGGATGAACCAGCTGCTTAACTATCCTCGGTCAACCAATTTGGGCTGCATAGAAAGCCCAATAGCTTTGACAAGATATGTGTTTATAAGGTATGTGTTTATAAGATACTAGTAACAAAATTATTGAAATTAAATTTAATGAAATTCAAAATCGGTTAGCATCACCAAAAACATCATGATCCCAACCAATTCAAAATTAAATTAACCAAGATTACCTAAACAATATCTTGAACTAGAGATATGAAAATAAAAATAGAAGCTTCAATATATAAGATGCAAATTTAATGAAGTTCATATCAAACACTCCATGGGCAATAACCACATAACAAAAAAAAAACACAACTAAAAAACAAGATCATGTGAAGAAATTAAATAACAAAAGCATAATCTATACAACCCAAAAATCTCAACAATCTCACCTTACACAATTGTGCAACATTTAGCCACACAACATAAATTACTTGCAAAAAAGAAACATATCATAGATTTGGATCATATGATTTTTCTTTCAAACATATCCAATCAATCATTAAGTCAGAACTATTACATCTTACAAAAGTGCCTTTAAGTTTTTGAACATTCTATATAGATAAATTAGGGTTCAACTTTGAATAACAAATAAAAATTCTATTTAACCACATCTTAACTCTTGAAATCTATTAGATATCGTATTAAATCGTAATTTAAATCTATTAAGATATCATATTAAATCCTAGTTTAAACATCACAAATTTTGAGTCTCGTGTTGTAGCTCGTTTTGTACACTGTCATAAGATTTTTAGGATAGTTCCAACTACCATGACCGGCTAGATTCCTTTGTTGTAGTGAATCTAAATCCATACAACATAGGCCAAAATCTTTTTATAACACAGAAAATGCACAAAAAAAAGTATGCTTTAACTTGAGCAATTCAAGGGGAGTGTACCCACCAATGGAAACATGTACCTATATGTACAGCCATATCATTACACCAATCATGTGAAGTTGTATAGCACTACAAGTTCTAACAACAAAAACCCCCAAATATAGAGGATCACACTAACAATACAAAAATAGATTTGTCCAATCATTCACATTGGATAAGAAAACAAATGAAGTGTGTTTAAAGGATCAAACAATCCGCAATTACATACACAACCAAATCCCAGAAATATGCAATACAAAAACCAAACACACAAGAAACAAAAATGTCTCACATTAATGAACATGACAAACACATGTTTTAGGGCACAAACAAGTTGTTCAATTTTTCAATACAACTATTGATTAATTTAGCTAGAGACATAGAATAATTGGTACCCCATATATGAAAAGGAAAACTTAATGATTACTTTTGCAATGACATGATCGGCAGTGTTGGACAGCTCAACATTATGAGACAAGAAGTTTCACAAAACTAAAAAAATAATGTGATCACATCCTTAAAATAAATATACTATCATGCCACAAACATATCATATACTTTAAATTAGTACTATAATTTAATACTAGTATATAAGAAGCAAGACAAAGACATAGATTTATATAAGAAAAATAAAAAGACTATAATCAATCCACATGCTATATAAAATATGTTGAGACAACTAAAAGGGGCCAGCATGTGGAAGAAGAAAACTATCCAAATATGCAATGAATTGAGACTATAATTTTACTTTTTATCCAATAGCCAAAATCATGTGAAAATAAATTATATAAAATTAAATGCTGAGAAAGCAACTCAAGACACCATTTATTCTCATAAGATAAACTACATACTAGTACCAGACAATATAAAAAAATACCAACATGTTACATGCTTCTTATAATTATTATATAATAAAAAATAATTTTAACAGTCCAAAAAAATTTCAAATATTCTTCTTCTCCATATAAATACACAATTTATTAACCTTAATCACCTAAATAATTTTAAAACCTAACAAAAAAATTATAGGGACTAAGAATAGAAAAATATTATTTACATGACCAAAACATTAATTAAAACAATTATTCATCAACAAAAGATGGTGTCTAACATAGTAAATGGTTCTTGTTGTGAACAAAGAATCTGCAACTGACAAAGAATTATCATTGCAAAGCACAATGAGAAAGCATTAAAAAGGAAGAACAAATAGTTAAATGCAGAGTTGAATATGACTAGAACAAATCTTTAAAAAAAAAAGTTTGATGATAAAAAGAAAATTTTCTGTGTAATATAAAGAAGAACAATTGGAAATAAGAGTACATCATGTCTTGATGAAATGCAGAAAAACTTTGCAGGTTCATCAGAGAAGACCAATGAACTAAGAATGAAAATGACAGACATAAATGATGGTGACGTTACAACTACTTCTTATGCTTAAGTCTAAAGTAGAAACTACTTGTATAAACAAACATTTATTTATAGTCTATAAAATTTATAACAAACCAATCTATATATAGAATCCATTTTTTCTAGTATTAAAAAAATATATTACAATATAATATATGAAAAATAGTGTAGCATGATTATTCAGAAGAAAAAAAATACAGAATCATGCTGAAAAGTATATATATATATATATATATATATATATATATATATATATATATATATATATTTATATATATATATATTTATCATACATACTTTATACTGTAGATTTCAACTTTAGCGAATATATAAAATAATTATAGATAGAAATAAAGGGAATAAAATAAACAAAAAAACAATAGCTGTCAAAGGAAAAGAAAGGAAATAGTTATTACAATAACTAAAGGAAATAAAAAATTATTAAAAAAAGTGAATGAATATCTAGTAAAAATAACCATGATTAATGGACCTATGCTTTTCCATTTTGAGTTAACTTGATACATAAACTATTAGTTTAAATAAGAGTTAAATAATGATTAATGATAGTCTTCTTTGTCATTGAATGATCATTGATCTCATGAACTTAGAAAGGAAATTTTGAGAGAGAACAAAGAATAAAAAATTAAAAAAAAAAAAAAAACAAGATGAAAAATGGAGAAAAAGAGTGAAATATGCAATAAGGTACAAATTCTATATAGAAGAAAATTAATTAATTTTCCTCACCCCTCCAAGATTACTACAAATATCATAAATCCTATAACTATAAAATACTTTGCTTTACTTGGAAAATATTAAGAAAATTCAATTGATTTGATTACCACCATAACCTGAGTTTCCAAGTAAACCTCCACTTGAAGCTGCTGCATAAACATCATGAGAAGGATGCAACATAGGTGAAGATGAACCAACATTTCTATTTGCACCTCCACTATTACCACTTCCACCACCTAAATGAAGCTCAGAAAGGTTCGGATAAACCTCTCTATTCTCAACACCATGATCATAGAGAAAACCTTTGAAAACATGGCCATTGATCTTCACTACTGCTTGATATGCATACTCATCTTTTCCATCGTCTACTGATGTTACTCTAACACACTTGAATACTGCTGGTGCGCGAACTTGACCTGGCATTGACTCTTTGAAACCTGCATCTGTACAAAATAAATCAAATTCATCAGTCAAAAAACGAGCCGAACTAGGAAAAGCTAAATTTTCAACTCATTGAGCCGCGAACCAAATTTAACAAGTTAATTATCATAGAATTGAATCTCAAAGTAATTTTAAGTTGGATCAATTCATTGTCAACTCTAAAAAAAACATGCAAGGGCATAATAGTGTAGTTTAGATCGAAAGTAAGTCATCAGAATCACTCTGAGCAGCAGTAACATTAGCAAAACCTAGACTTTAGGCTTTGCAAAATCACTATACTCAGTGTGATTCTGACAAACTCACTGTGATACAAAACATGCACATAAAATTTCAAGGAAATTGCATGAATTTGTTAATCTCATTGATCTAAAATACATGGTATTAAAAATTTACAAAACCTAATATGAATGAAAAGTGAAGAGAATTAACAAACCTTGATGGCTAGAGGTGGTGTCGAAGCTTCTAGGGGGTGTAGTATTAGAAGTGGAAGTGTGAGAAGTAGTTTGTGAAGCTATGAGTCTAGGTTTTTTAGCACCAGATGTTGAACCACTAGAGCCACCACCAGCAACCACCGTGGTTGTCGTCGCAGAAGCAAGACGTTCTCTTCTTCTAGCAGCAGGTACCCAAGTGCTTTTAACATGAGTAGGGCAATCAAAACCTCTACTTTTACAACAAGTTCTACATCTTCTATTACTACAATCTTTCTTCGCTTGGTTACCACAATCTTGACACGTTGTTGTTCCTCCACCACTGCTAGTTCCAGAAACTGTTAATCCTCCCCCACCACCACCACCACCACCGCCACCACAGTGTTGAACTAAATTAGTTGGACTTGTATTATGATGATCAAGAAAACCTTGTTTTTTCAAATAGTGCGAGTGAGAATTATGTTGCTGGTGATGTTGATGTTGATGTTGCTGGGGCTGTGGTTCATGCCAAAATTGAATTCCTTGTTGGTTTTGGTTATGGTTATGGTTATGGTTTCGTCTGGTGTTTAAGTTTAAGATGTTTTCATTCTCAAGGCAAGGTGAAGCGGTGAGTAAAGGTATAACCCCGACGCCGAGAGCGGTGGCAGGGTTAAGAGGATGAGAATCGGAGATGAGAGAATCATGGTGGTGATGATGAAAAGGAGATGGTGCTACAACGAACATACCCATTTCAGGCCCGTAATTGATGGGTCTGGAGTTAGTGTTACCTTGCCATAACCCGGCGGTGGGTCCGGTGGAAGGTCCGGTGTTTCCGGCTGTAGGACCGGCATTGAAACCGAGTGAGAGATCTTCCGGGGCAGCAGGACGAGGTGTAGAAGACGAAGTTGCTGCCCAATCAGCGAAAGCTCCTGAATCTGAAGGCAATCTCCTTGTAGTAGCCACAACTATAGAATATAATTATTTAATAATTGTAAAAGTTTGTTACAGAGGAAGTAAATAATGTGGGGTGGTGTAGATCTTATATGGTGGGGGTGAGAGAGATAGAAGAAGAAAAGTAAGGAAAGAAGGAACAAGTTTTCTGCTGTTGCTGTTGCTGCTGTTATTGTGGCTACTACTTCTACTACTATTACTGTCAATTTGGCTTTTTCTTCAGTGGATGAGAAAAACTTTTGGTTAAGATTGTTAGAGAGAGAAAGAGAGAAGGGGGGAAGAAAGAGGAAGAAGCTGTGTTTCTGGAGGGTCCAGGAAACAGAAGAGTGTTGGTTGCAGTGATAACAGTGAGCAAGAGCAGTGAATGAATGAATGAGAAAAATCAATAACGACCTTTTTTCTTTCTCTTTCTCTCTGTGTTTTATTTATTCTTCTTCTTGTGGAACATTTTCTCTTATCATGCTCTTCTTTTTTTTCTTTTCGTTTTTTTTTTTAATACAGTTTACTTGACATGCTTTCTCTTCTATCTCTCTCCAATTATCGTCCTTACTGATATTTTCATGACCTAAATTATATTCTCAACTTTTTTTCTTCTATAATATATTATTAATAATATGTCAATTTTAAAATAGGTTTAACCACTAGTATTTTTTTTATGTCATCATTTTTTACTTGCAATTAATCATTTAAGTAAATAATTTTTACTTGCTATTACTTATTTCAACAATTCTAATTAATATAACTTTTTATTAAAAAATTATTATACAGAATATTTTATATTTATGTATTATTTTTGTTTAAAGAACAATGTTTCTAAATTATAATTTTTTTTAAAAATTGTCAGATGATGGTTTTGACTGGTGATTGTGTGAATTTATCAAAATTTTGTCTTTTGAAAATAACATTTAACAGGATTTAAGAGTGTATGTTCTATATACTACTACAAACTATCATTGACCTTCATTATAAAATTATTTGGTAGTAACAAAAACAAAAAATGTTTAATTTGATAAGATAATAGAAACAAGAGAAACAATAATAAATTAATTTTTTTTAAATCTATAACATTAATAAAATTAATCATCAAATTAATTAATAAATTTAAAATATATAAAATTATCTCAATCAATTTTAATTCTACAATTTTCTATCCAATATTGATCATTTTAAATATGAGAATTCGTTAAAATTGTTATTTAAAAATATTTTATTAGATTAAAGAATGTTGCATTATTTGATGACCTTAACAAAAATAACTTTTAAAATTGAAACAAGGGAAAATAGTTATAAATAATAAATTAAAATATTATTTATAATTGTTTATCAAAAAACATTTTGATCTAATAAAAAATTATAAGCAATAATCATCATAAAAATAAAACTTGTACTAAATATTATACCAAATCTAAATAAATTTGTTTGTTTGCTCATTAAAAATAAATAAAAAATAAATATTTTTTTGGTATTGCAAAATAAATAAATAAATTGACAAAGTATATTAGTTATAATTTATAAACTATTAAAATCAATAGTGATGAAAAAGTATATTATACTTGCACCATAAGCATAGAGATAGAGAGAGGAGTGAAATAAAAGCTTATAAAGACTTTTGTTCCCTTATTTTTGTAATTTACAAACACTCACATGACGCCACTCACCACTTATTTACCTCTATACCTAAGCGCGTGTCTCTCACTCAAGCGCGTTTTCCATTTCTCACCTCACAACACCTACGCCGTTTCAGTTCTCTCACCATTAGATTGGAGCGTGAGAATCACGCAAAATGGGTTACGTATGATTTTCATTCTTACGCATTTTTCGGGAAAAAAAAGTTAATTATATGTTTGAGTAGCACTCTGGTGCTATACACTGTACTAGTCTATAACATAAGGTGTATGTTTTTCCTTTTTTTTTCTTTAGATTGTCTTTCTAACTTCTAATTCCATATCTATCTTTTCTTTTCTTTAGATTGCCTTTGTCAGTAATTATCTAACTTTATATTAAAAACATATGTGTAAATTATTTTTGTCTCATTATGAGCAACTAATGTGTGTTTATTGACATCTATTTTTTTAAATTATTATTATTATTTTTATTCTTAATTATTTGAAATATGTGTGTAGCTCAACTGATAAATATTAATTAAATTAAATTAATATAAATAATTGATTTATATTTAAGTTTTTATGGTAATATTTATTTATATTTATATATTAATATATTGAAGGATGAAAAAATTATTATGAATTAAATTAGGGTTAAATAAGTTTTTTATCTTTAAAATTATCTTAAATTTTATTTTTAGTTTTTATTAAAAAGATAATATATTTTAGTTCTTATAAAATTTTATTCATCCAGTTTTAGTTTAATATAGTTTTCTAAAAATTTAAAAATTATTTAATTATTCTTTAATTTTTGAATAATTTTTTGATAAGTGTTTAAAATATTATAAAATATTTATTTATTAAATTTTAAAATATATTAATAAAAGAAATGAAATTTTCAATTTAGAAATTAAATTTTAAATTTTTTTGAAAAATTTTTTTGTAACATTTTAAACATGTCTATAAAATAATTATTTAAAAATATACATTATTTTAACGGTAGAAATTAAAACTATATACATAATTATAAGGATTAAAATATGTTGATTTTTTTTTATAAGAATCAAATACAAAATTTAATAATTTATAAAAACCAAAAATATATTTAACTCATTAAATTATTATGAATAATTTTTTACAATTAATAGAGATTTCAATTTTGTTCTTTAATATTAAAGTGTTAAAATTTTAATTTAATATCATTAAAAAAGTTAAAGAATAAAAAAAAAAAAAATATATATATATATATATATATATATATATATATATATATATATATATATATATATATATATATATATATATATATATATATATATATATATATATATATATATATATATATATATATATATATATATATATATATATATATATATATATATATATATATATAGCTATGGATTGGGCCTGCCCATGCCCCAACTCCCAGTAAGGCCTAATCCAAGTGTGTCAACCTGCACCACTGACCAGTTCTATCTTCGAATGCGGCGAGCAACTACCACATTTTTTCCATGAGGAGACAACCTTGTCACGCGAGGACACCACCCCGAGTAGACTAAGGGCGGTCACCTCCGACCATGCAGGCTTCGCGGATATCCCGATGGGCTCGTCGACCATGGCTGACCCCCCACTCGACCTCGCGTAAGACGGAGATCACCCACAACGGGCAGATGCCCCTCCCGAGCATCCTCCTCATATGGCTGACTACCAACGTCTTCGGATATCACGGAGCCTTCGTGGTCCCAGAAAGATCGCATACATATCCTTCTTACCTTGCGGAGGACGTCATCCAGGTAGGGGATCACGTGCGAGCCTCCACTACTCACGTAGGACCTGACAGTCTCTATGTTAGGCCTGCTTGACCAGTCCAATGAAGAGACCTTGGTCCAGCGCTGAGAGCTATAAATACCCTCTCTTTCGAGAGGGTCAGGTATTTAACACTTTCTAACTCTCACGCTTGCTTGCTCATTCCGCAACTTACTTTGGCATCAGAGTGTCTTGCAGGTACCCCTCCCCCCACCTCACTCAACTTCTGCTCGAGTTAGCTGATGCCTAATATTAATGTGCTCGGTCCTACTATGCTGAATAGGATTTTTAGAAATATTAATAGCACTCATGTTGTCACACAATAATGTCAAGACATCTTGTGTAACATTATACTCAGTCAGCATCTGATTAGTTGGAGCTTTTTGTGTTGCATGCGTGTGTTTCAGTAGTGATCACTATACATCATAGCTTTAGCGCCTTTGAATATGACATGATGGATAAGTTAGTTGAATCCAACGCATCGTATTATTTTGGTATTATTTTTATTTTCTGATTTTTTTGTTTTATTTGTTTTAAACTTCAAAAATTCATTTCAACTTCTAAAATTGTAGAAAAATTATCAAAAATACTTTTAATTTTTCTCTTTCTGATTTTTATTTTTTTCTTAATTTTATTGTTATTTGGTATTTTTTGTGATTTTTCACTTTATTTGACTTGTTTTAATTGTTTAAAAAAAAACTTTTCTTGATTTTTAAATTCTGAAAAAATATGGAAGGGTCTAGTGACCTCTTGACAAATATTGGTGACCTCATTTTGTTTTTATTTTTGATTTTACTATTTTTCACAAATTTTGGTTTATTTTGCTCATTTCTTTATATTTTAAAGATAGTTTCTGATTTTAAAAAATTCTAAATTTTTTGTCAAGACTTGTTGACTCATGTTATACTTCTGATATTTTTTTAGGAGTTTTATTTGGTGTTTTAGTATATGTTATGTATTTTACCAATTATTTCCTTTTTTAAATCATTAAAATTTTGTTTTATATTAAATATATTTTATTATTTTTTGATTGGTCCTGATTTGGAGACACTTGAGTGTTTTCTTTTGAGGCAAGTTCCTCAACCTCATTAGATCTTGGGTGTTGATAGGTTGACAAACCAAATCCACTAAAATGGATGAATAATGTTGATGATATTTGAAACCCTAATTTCATCTGATACATTGGTTACACTATCATTCCCCTCCCTCTTCATCTTATCCCTTTCTTGTTTCTACTTGAGCTACATATTTTTGGAGAATGATCTACATATGATTTCTCTAATATGTTTGGTACATAGATTACTATTGACCAACCTCAAAATAGGTGTGGCTTCTACATAAGTCCACTTACGATTGCTTAACATAGCACTAAATTTGTCCCATTCG